TCCATAGTTGGTGTGATGACTGTACGAAGCCTAGACTAAGTAATCGTACCAGGTGGGACAAGGAAACTGTAGACTAGTAAACCTATATTATACGCACGGTCTGAGCAGAGACATAAAAGGTACGTTCCTGTTATCCCGATTCTATGATTTGATGTAAAGACAGCAATGAACTTAGAAATAGGCTTGCAATTCTAACGGGAAAGGGGGAAAACTGGAAATCGTGCGGCGGCTTGGAGAAACGGTACAGCGTAGCAGTTTACCGATCGACAGTGAGTCAGGGTTGAAATGTTTGACCTTGGGGAGTCAAGGATATGCCAGTAATACGAAGCGGAAACGTAAAGTATCTCAGTATGCAAGAGTTTGAAGCAAACAAATGTAATGTCTATAAGAATCTAACTAAGGGTTTTGGAAAAAGGGATATTATGTCCTTAATACGTAAAGCAGTTTGGCTGAATATTCAAAGTTCTATTTGGACTTTACACTCCTTCGGCAGTCTACTGTCCTCTCCAATGCCTTCGACAGCCGCGTCATCCTCTTCGTCGTATGTTTCTAACAAACGGAGTTGACTGACGTCCATAGGAAGAATACCTTTGCTTGTCCTCACCAAAGCTTGTCAAACCATTTGGTCTTTGCCTTGCATGATTTCTTCCAGAACTGCCTTCGGCCACAGGTCTCTTGAGATGTGTAAATCCTAAACTAGAACTAGATCACCCTTTCTGAGCTCTCTAACTTTAGTTAAGTATTCCTGTCTTTGCTGTAATTTTGGTAAGTACATTCTAATCCACCTAAGTCAAAACATATTGGTAAGATGTCCTACCTATCTCCATCTTCTAGTCAATTTCATCGGTAACTTGGTCCTCGGGTTTTCGAGCAGCTGATCGTTCGCCAGTGTTAACAGCTGTCTCGGCGATATAGTGTCAGTGACATCCATTTGCGAGTCCTCCACCTAAGAAATAACTTGCTTTTGGTTTAATGATGGAGGGATTTCTTTTCTGATGCTTGCGCTACCAATGTGCTGAAAGTATTTGTGAACGTTTCCCAGGCAACTGCTGGGGTATTCAGCTAAGAAGGTCAAAAATGTATCCTTAACACTCTTGGATATTCCGCATAGTATATATAAGCAAACAGTAGAGCAACATGGTGCCTGAGACCAAAATGTTTGCTTGTAACTTCCGTCACCCGTAAGTTCTTCGCTGGTGCGCACGAGGTCAAAAGTCGACGGTCTATTGGCAGTTCAACATCTGGTGGGAGAGTTCATGTGGTTGTACAGAGGGTAGCTGAAAATTAACTCTTGCAAACGATTTTAACCTGTGCATCATCGGCTGCTGACGTTTCCCTGCCGGGTACATTAACGTCTAGCAATAAGAATGTGGCTGGATGACTTGTTCAAAGCAACCTGAAAACGTGGTTCAGTTAGGACTCCATTTTTGACGTAGAGTTTGCGGTTACAAGACATGTACCCTTGTTCAGCAACCATGGCAGGCAACAAAGCTAATCAGAGGCGCGGAGTACTGGGTGATCAGTAACTTCGCATCGTTTAGCTTTGTACTAAAGAATTACACTACCGCCCCTTTCAGTTCTATCGTTTCGAAGCAGCAACATACCGGGTAAATGGATAGAATCGGTTATCTCAAGGTTCAACCCGGTCTCTATATGTATGATAAAGTCCAGCGGCTGTGAGGCGTGGCGTTCTCTTACTTCGACCAACTTACTAAGAAAGCCTCGGGCGTTATTGTACAAACAGGATAATGTTTTGATGTTTGACGTGCGTTGTTAGAGGTCAAATTGGTGTTCTGTTTTTAGCCGACCTTCAGGTGGTGCGCTTCTAATCGTTTTTTTTGGCTTGGTCGTCAGTTTATGTGTTTCAGTCGGGCTACATGGCCTCATCGTGTTCCAGAACAGGGGGTGCAAGTGTGCCTCGCGTTTATCCTTTTGTGTAACCTTGGTGCTGTAGTGTCGATCTCTGCGAGCCTGTAGAGACAACGAATTTCCTGAGATTGTAAGTTTCATCGAACTGCTGACCACTCGTCTCCTTTGGACTGTTGCTTTCAGCCGTAGCTTGGTTGGTAACCTGGCACCGAACGTCAACCAGTTACCCAATAGCACTATTGGCTTACCTTCGGAATGTTGCCACACTTTCACTAAGCTTGGACAGCAGTTCATGAAGTTAGGTGATGAAATCATTTTCGTTAACAATTCAGCAATAACTTTGTCCAGAGAGAGTTCTTCCCGAACATAACACCATTGCTGTCGGTTAAGCGGTTGCGATTCGTGATCAGCAGAAGCCAGCTCGGTAACCCACCAAACAAATAAGGTTTCCTTGCAATCGCTATTAAGAGGGCCGCCTTGATTATGCGCTTCCTTCGGGCGATCTATCCAAGCATGATCGGGTAATATGCGCACCAATTTCAGTGAGTGTCGAAGACGTAATGCTGAGAGCTGGACAGCCTCTGTCTCATCTGCTGACGTCAGTCTTACTCGCTAGCTCCAGGTTTACCATAGTGCACTGCTGTCGGGTGACGCGCTGCTCGTTTCAGCATAGTGGCCTCAAACTGAATAGCAGTCGCGATGCAGATGGAAGTACATCTCTTGCGCTCAACTGGCAACGCGCGTTTTAAGGTGCCAGATGTTGAACTCTGGAAAGTTAATGCAAACGTGATTTATCGCACCGTGGTTCTGTCTATCGAATATAGGTTTAAGTGTTGTTGCTGGTTATGTTAGCTGTTTAGGAGACGCCACTGATTTTGACGGCGAAAGTTGCGTCGCCCCTAGGGTGCTCGGTAGAGAAGATGACCATACGCGCGTCGCTCACATCTTGTTTGTTAAGACGACCAATGCGTACGTCTCCCAAGTTTCCCCTGAACCAGACTGCCTCCAGCTCTAAGCTGCCGGCGTCATAACTGAGTCCTTAGGTGTAGATTCCCTGAACGGGATAAAGCGGTCACGTCGAAGGCGACTTGACCAAGTACGGGGTTAGGATGTGTCAGGGTAAGTGGAGTAGATACGGTGGAGCAGTCAGCAAGGCTGGCTTTACTCTTTGTTCTAGAGACGGGCTCAGAGGGGGTTGTTGTGGTACAGGATCGGTTTTCTTCGATTCCAATGGCGAAGCACTGAGACTCGCCGTCTGCTCATTTGTTTCAGTTATGTTTTCGCCCTTTTCATGAGCAAAATTATACAGTTGAAACTTGGAATAGCTCTGCATACTCGGCATAGCGAGAGCACATCGGTCATATCGTTGTGCTTCTTTAATTATGCTTGATTTACGCCAACCCAGTGTGGGGTGCAGTTGCGCCGTTTGAGCATGTCAGACAAGTCCTGAGCACGCGGGTGCACTTTGATTCTCCACCTTTATCGCCTAGTAGACTCATTTTCAGTGACGGCTCTTATGGCAACCGAACACTGCACCTGTCCGGTCACGTGAGGTTGAGGATGAATGATCCGCGTTTTTGTCCCGTTACGTAGTTGATCTGGGCTATTGCAGGCGGATTTGTCCCGAACTTGAAGCCCATACACGCGCAGTTTGGCTTATTTACTGAGTGATGACGGTTAGTCTAATATTTAGCTCTGTAACATACTTTGCAGTGGGTAGATGCTAGCGGCGCATTGCCACCGATGGGCGAGTGCAATCAAAATGCACAAATTGGGCAGTAGCTTCCTTAGACATGGTCCTATAGGAATGATTTTTGGATCACGAGATAGCGCAGAGAACCCTTTATCAAAGGCAAGTTTGTAGTAATGAGCATTGTTTAAACGTGATCACGAGAATCGCTAAAACCACTTGGGTTGCAGAAGTCACGAGCAGTAGAGCATACTTCCGTATAAGAGCAACCACGGAATACGGGAACTTACTCTGATGCGTTGAGTGCATCACTACTGCTCTGTGTGGAGCTGGAATAGGATAAACCTCTGACAGAGAAGAGTGCAGTTTTACTGACTAATTCTGGAGTGAATGGCAATGGGGGGGGGGCAAACTGATGACTTTGTGAAAAAGCATGACGCCCTGCTCTACGAAGTTGGCATCGTTTGTAACTTCTCCTCTTCGTGGTCGGGGTCCGAAAGAGGATGAACGCGTTTGGTTGGATACACTGGTTACATGCCGAAAGGATGGACCCAGTGGCATTTGCGTTGTAAGCTGCTTTGTCCCTCTATAACCAAGATCTCACTTGATGGGTAATACTAAGCAGGCATAATGTTGCTGGTTTCTGGCTTGTACATTTTACCTTGTGGCTTTTCATGTTTTTTGCACATTTAACCGCATTGCATTGCGACTTAGTAGCTGAGTTAATGTTCATCTCCAGCTAACGTGTAGAAGAATGCTGCTGACCGTTGTTGAAGTAAAGCTCATGATCACTTTTGACCATAATACTCACATAACCGTGGATCTGGAACATTCTATATTCTCCCGCATCAGCGTGCCATTCGTTCCACTATGAGGTGAACTTGACTGGTTGCAGTGCACTTGCACGACCGCTGCCATTAAGACGAAACCATGCGGACCGTTTAACAAGTACACATTCAAGTGGTCCGTTCAGTTAGTGCCGATGTCAATTTTGCATTTAGCTCCAGCTTCGTTTTCCATGAAATCCAGAGCTTCTAACCTTTCGGATGTGACCGCTTTTAGAAAAGACCGATTTTGCTGTAAATGTGTTACTGTATGGAATACTTAGATGCCGGCTTCGAGTGTGGGATGGGAAGTCAGGATAGCACTTGGTTATCCAATCTTCACTTAGTCACCTAAACAGGGTACAAATCTGTTTATGGCGAAGTAGACACAGCAGTTGTTTAAATCTTGCAGACACGTACTGAACTTGAATTTCTTTCTTACTAAAAAGCAAACTACGACAGTTCAACACAAGTAGGGGTCAGAGAAGTGTGTAGCACCACGCCACAGTAAAACAAATTTCTTCACTCCTAAACAACACAAAGTAGTGCAATAGTCAGTTGTTTGTCATATGACTTGCTAATCGTGACATGAATTAAAACCTTCTTGTTTACTTTAGGTTTTCTAGTGATGTACATACTTTACGTGTTCATCACATGGGCAGGAGGGACGGTGCATCGTCGTCAAATGAAGTCCACCAAACAATATGGAAGCGGACAATTTTGGCCATCTTCTATACAGTGGATTATTGATATTCTCACCTCCTGTTGCAGTGCAGTATACATGCATTGTTTACAGAACTGTGATTTTCCCCTGTATCCTCACTTGTTTCAACGGCAAACAACGGGTGATACGGAGGTCCAGGCCACTGTAAAAGTGGCGTATTCACGGTCGGTGGCGGATGCGGCTACAACCAAAATGTCCGATTTAGAAACGTGCATTGCAAACGGTGCCGTGGGTGAGTAAGTGAACACGAGATCTTCATTTTTCTCCCTACTGGGAGATATTCTGAACTTCAGTCCTATCCTAGTTTGAGGCATGATTCTCCTTCAGCACAGCTTGTCTCTATTCAACACGAAAAACACGCTTTACATTTTACTGTTATGCGTTTAAGCCATTTAAAATGAAGCCCTGAAATTCACTGGCAGGGAAGAAGCCAAGGTAGAAAGACAAAGATGTTTCTTTACTACGAATTAATTAATTAATTAGTTTAACTGGAAAGAAAGGAGGAAAACGATTAATAAGGACGGAGTATTTGTCTCTCATGCTTCTCAAGAGAGAGTAGTTCATTTCCCATTATCAACAACAACATGTTTCGAGTAAACCATTTGGGATAAGTCAGCATGGAATAATCTCCGTTCTGTGTTCCGCCCGCTTTCCTATGTCTTACTGCGCTACATTACGACGGTTAAGCTGTACTCACAAGCTACAGATGTGTTTCGATTGGTTGTTTCTTCTCCTCAATAGGTGGAGCGAGGGTTCGCACCTAGCACAGTGTAAATGAAATAGAATTAAAGCAATCGAATCCACAGAACAGATTTCGGATGACTCCCATCGATGCTTGACCCTTCGGCGCTTTGCAGTAAAGACACGCAGGCTTTTGACATCGATAACTTGTCCCTCGGCCGGTTAACAAGTAGCCCCATGGTATGTGTAGTTAGTGTTCAGCCTCACGCGTTCTAGCCAGTTCATTGTTTCATAGCTGATATACGAGGAAACGTTTCTACCCATCAGACAGGAACATCACACCTTTTAATTGCACGCCTAAATTTTGATTTACAAGCCTCCAGCTCGAGGTTATTCATGTGAATTGCACAACATGCCACCTGATAATGAACTAAAGAAAAGCACATTCAGGTTAGTTTTACGAAGGCGTGATTTTCGCAGCCATGCAGTAGAAAACGCTAGGAAGTGCAGTCAGTAGAGCTATCATTTACGGCGAAAAATGCACGACGCACAACTTTGTCCTGCTTCGCGCTTGTTTAATAAAACTAAACGATGCAGTTTCCTCCCTTGTCGAACAGTTTACGCAAAATATAATCCAAACGAATTCATCCCGTCAGCCGACCTACCAACTCCGGTTATTAGAGTCACGTCCACACAGAGCCCAGAGCACGCCGAGGGGGATAAATTTATGTGTGGTAGTTACCTACCTGCAAACGATACAGAAAATACAATAACCCCTGTTCCACTGGGTACGGAATCAACGTATGCAATACACCTCCTTACTCCGGCGGATCATCCAAGAATGCGCTCCTCCTCATTGCGTTCAACTGATGAGATGCCGAATACCCGCCGTCTTTCCACCGGTGCGGCATTCAACCGAGGTCCATGCCAACGCTCACAGTCAGCTCACCGGAGACGAGCAAGTGCTCGTTTGAGTACCGTTGGCTACGATTTGCCATATATGGTCAGATGGATTATAGGTGAGACAACAGTAAATTGCTTGTGTGCGGGTTTAAAAAGAAGTGTCTGTACGCCTGCTTGCACTGATTTCGGTAATTTGAAGCCTTTGGTGTGTCCGATGTGTAAACATTCATTTAACTGATGAGACACAACGTGACGGAAACGCTATTCGAAAATACCAGTAGTTTTGTATGATATAGAAACATACAACCATAACGCTTAGCTAAATGATTTGTGCATAATCCGCCACTCATTTACCAGCTGAGATGCCCAAAGTAAATAAAAGGTAAAGCTGAAAGAAACCGTATCCTCGAGGCCCGCTGTGACTGAATCGCACTTCTTTTAAATTCTCTAAACTGGTCCTCGAACGAAGCAATACAGCTTTACTATATGCCACATGGTTGAATATTTCAGTAGAACATCACAGCCTAGTTATCGTCTGCGACTTGAATCCCTCGTGGATGGGAACTTGCAGTCTTCGCTGCCACAGGTAGCAGTGCAGTCTCCAGTAACTTACTTGGCATCTGCAATTTACATTATGAATGAGGACCGAAAATCAAAGTTATCTAGTTGCTTCTCGGTTTGCTGGCAACAAACTGGTTTGGCCTAATTGTAACCGCCTCTGGTTAGACCTGAAGACTCAGTCATGCATTGGTGGACATTTAAATCGACTGCTGTATGCGGTGCGACTACCACGTTTCAGACCAATGGACTTTGGTGTGCGAAAGAAGCATTCCCTTTTCTGTTGTCTGTTTTCAACTATAAATATATCATCTTATCTCAATGCCGGTAGACAACTGGTGAATTTGTGTCGGTTGTTTTGGGTCTGGCAATACAGACGCGTTCGGTATATCGCTTGTTTGTATTTTATGTAATAACTTCAAATTTCTTGGCTTGCGATCGGTCCGTACCAAATGAGCTATGAAGCTGGTGTTCACCTTTGATCTTGCTTCCCTCACCAGCACAATCTTTTTGTCGTATGATTCATGCTGCGGTCATCTGTTTAGATTGGTCGTTTCTGTTATCATTTTGGACCGAAGTTGTCAGTTGTTTTATGACATAAGTGGCCGGGGATGTACACAAGTTTGAAAGTGCAGTCAAGGGAAAATACTTAGGCAGTAGACAGGAAAAGCACTGAGCCCAGTAACTGTTGTAGAGATCAAACTCCGTTTGCAAGATATTACGTAGAGCTCACAGCTGCTGGTTGACGGACCGCAGGCAATTAGTGACTAGTCCTTGGAAGCTTAGGCGGGGTAGTACCAAACTTCAGGTGCTTATAGGTTTCTGCAGAAATACATGTGGACAAAGAGTGAAAACAATTAGATACTGTGTAAGCGTAAAAGCGTTTACACAAGTAGGCTGATGTACCCAGTTCCCAAATGTCACACATTTGTTGAAGCTAACCATCAATCACATAAACATATCAACTTACTAGGTATGTACGTCACTCAGCGAGCTTCCCTGGCATAACAAATGATACTTTATCTCTAGGATAGATTGCAAAATTACTCGAAGCTAACAGAGCGGTATTGACAGAAACAGGTGAGCAGGGCTTTCTCGAGCGCTGTGGCCTTTATAGTATAGAGTCAGGAATCAGATTATTCAAAATCTTTACCCAGTACTACTCTCATATTCTTGGATTATAAGGAATTTATTCTTTCATCTTTTTGTACATCCGAGCAGCGAACCGAGGCATGGAAGAAAAGGACCTAAGTTCAGGTGAGCTCAATGAATTAGATTATTTTACTTCTTTGACACCCGTGTTAAAGGTGCTTGAAATCAGTGTGGGTGTGGCACATTTACTAAAAATGTTCATTTCAGCACTTATTGCATATTTGCCCATTCCATTTGTTGTATATGTTTTCTGTGGGATTTTAACAACTTGTTTGGGTGATTAGCGCTGATCTGCTTTTCAAACTTCTTTGGTTACCGCTTTCACTTTCGACCATGAACACGGATGTAATTAGGAAGACCCGACAATCGTGCTCTGGCGCACGGAACTCGGTGCACACTATTTGGTACAAGTTAGTGATCAAATCTATTAGAACTGAAATCACCTTGGTCAACATGGATTAATTCACATCTGGGAGTCCAAGTGCATTTATCGGTGACCAGAAAACTTCATACCAGCTAGATTCTGATTTTTAGCAAATCAGCGTCACTAGGTTAGCGCCATCGCGGGTTAGCTTGGATTTATCTGTAGACCTCCACCAACCCGTCGTATCCATGTGATTATTGGCCGATTGTTTTGAAGTCCACTGTAGAGACTGATAGCTCACCACTCTCCAGAAGCTCAAGTATTGACCTAAACCATGTGGATTAGGTCTCCCGATTCGTTTGATAAGCGACTTCTGATTCGAGGTATAATAATTGGATAAAGTCACCTTTGGACCTATACCGAGTGTCATACACTATGGGCCGGTATCTCGGGATTTGCATGGCATATGATGTAAAAGCATAGGCAGCTATGTGGGAGTCCGCTTATATCGCTTTAGATTATTATTTTAAGTAACGTATCAACCTACCCTTCTGTTGTGTCGGAGCCCCTCGACTGCTTCCGCCCACTAACGTTAGTGAGAACACTAATGATCAGGGACGGAGATTCACGGGGTTCTTCAAATAGGGAAACCAGTTCGTTATATAGCATAACGCACAAACATGAAAGCCAGGGTGCGGAAAGCAAGTGGACAATTAAAGCCAATAAGAACGGAACAAATGGGGAACCAATCAAGTGCACACAAAGGAACTAAGGTGAGAGTGATAGCGTCAAAGTATGCCTGCGATCTGAAGGTAAAAACAACGACTACAAATAGCCAATAGGGATGACGAAATGATGCGTTAAAACAAACATTGGTGAACCTTCATGGTAGAAAGAAAGTGTGCAGTCATGAACGGCTACAGATGCATAACTGTATTTTACTTTCACCTCCAACACCTTCCGTGTGTACTGAATTAGTTCACGTGTGCCTTAAGTAACTTCCACAGATCGGTCCCTGTTTACACTTTAGCACCGTACTGCATTAGGCCAACTTACTCTGTCCCTCTTCCGTGGTTTCAAACTTCAATTCGGCCGGGTTATAATCTGTAGGCCCGGTGAGCAACACGATCACCAGATAGGTACTTTCAAGCTATTTTGTGAAGACATGGCGAGGAGTTCATCGTTGTGCAAGCTCCGGTACAAGGGAAGGCGAGTCGGAGTTTGCAATTAGTCCCTGAAGTCCAGTCAGACACGAGTAACAGACTGGGTGCTGTCGCATGCTTGACTGCCATTGGTAACGGCGACAAATAACACCGTTGTGCATTATGTATCGTTTGCCTAGGTGCACGTTCACACAATGTTACCACCTTGCTGCTGCCCTCAGAAGGCTGCCAACCCTTGTTGGGTAGACTGGCGGCACGGTTTTGTAGTGGAACCAGGTTGAACTAGTGCTCCTATCATAAGAATGGACCAGCGTCTAGTGACTGTCCTAAGTCCATCTAGCAATGCCGTTTTCTCCTTTCTGATTGAGTGAGAGATCAGCGGGCAACGTACTCACACGAGCCAGAGTTTCTTAAAGTGAGTGTAAGCTCTCACAATGTGTGTTATTGCCACTCTTCGGTGTATTACGCGAATTCGCCCTCTGCTGGGGGCAAGACGGGTGACGAACTGTCGGCCGGCTTGGAGACAGCACTGGACAGCACCGCATGGATCGTGACCTTCCCCCCCCCCCCCCACCCCCGGTGACCGCGTGTGCATGTGTTTGTGTGTGTGTCTGTGAATTTGTGTTTGGTTCGGTAAAGTAATAGATGCAAGTACTAGCGTCGACCAATTGATTTTCTTGACTGGTTAATCAGGAAGACGACGCAACCCGTTAACATCAGGAACGAATTTGTGGGAAGTGGACTATAGGCAGCTCAACTAAGACGAAAAGTCGAAAACCTAATGTGGATTGGCCGTTACTCTAGAGATCTTCCAAAGAAGCATTGCCTAGTGCATCGTCCGGAATAATAACACCTTACGAAATATGCTGGAACGCGATCTAACTAACCGAATTACGAGTAACGTTTTCCCTATTTTACTTTGTGAAAGATGGCCATTTCCAATTTGAGGCAACTGCTGCCGTAGGTACGTATTTCGTCTGATCCGCAAGGATAGTGAACCTTAATGTTTGCTAGCAGGGTGCATCAGAACCGCGCTTGGGAAAAGAGCAGGCAATTGGTTTTTTATTGCGGATACGGACAGATGTTCAATGTCACCGGTTCAGTGGTCAGTAGTGTGCTCTTCCAAATGATGGTATATTTTCAGTCAGTGTCTAATGGCTGCACTTAACTGGTTTCCATGCGAATACTTTGGAGCAATTTCTAATGCATAAGATCTAATAACTTATCCATCTATGAACAAGGTATCTTGAGCCTGGGTTGCTGCAATGAGAGCGCTTTGAACTCCAGTGTAGGAGAATACGCATATTGTCCTACTAAACTGACATCTGTCACCGTAGCACACCACAGCGTTTTCTACATGAAGCAGACGCACCTTGGGTCTACCAACATGGTCAGTGGTCATAATTGTGGTACTGCTTGAAATGTAGACACTGTCCACAAATCAAGAGGTGAAAAGTTGAGCTTCTATTACATGGTGTAACTGGAACTTGTTTTAAGTTGAACCGACGAAATTTATGTGCAGAGTTCGTCGGGCCAGTAACGGTTCGAGTCGTCGAGGAACCGGAATAATTTGTGCAGTGTCAGTTAGGTTAGCTCACGCACACCGAAGACGCTTCCAAAATAACAACGAGTGAAATGGAGCAGAGCCCCAGTGAGCTTTTACACTGTCGTGAAACAGTTTGCTGGTAAGAACAAGAATTACTGTTATTCCTATTATGTCGTCGAGGCTGAGGAAACATTTTGATGTTTAATTAGAAATTAGTGGCGAAAAATTGTTTCTTGACAATTCTCGTCAGGTAAATACAAATATGATGTGCATTATCTTTGGGATAAGAAGCTATGACTGGTGTAGCACAGTCAGACGAGTAGCAATAGGGGGCGGCATTTTTAGTATCGTTGCTTGTTCTATACTAAAGACAAAGGACAAAATTCTTAGATAAGCTTCTGGTTGAATAATTTAATGTTACTCTGTACTACCACCACCAACACTTTTGCGCCATGTGTCACATCCGTGAAAACGTTTTTCTGAGCGACCTCCTTACCTGTCCCATGGTGGTCACTTACATTACACTTATTGGCAGTGTTCCACTAGATTGCATTACAAATGGATGAAATAAAAGTCTTTTTATAAAATTATTGCTGTGAAAACACATTAAACTGACAGTTGAGATGTGAAGAAAAGCCTAATGCATTAATTTTTTTAGAGGCACCGAGCATACTTATTTTAATGAATGAATTCTGAGGTTTTATGCAAAAGGGAGAAAGTTCTGTTTTCGGCCGTAATTTCTAACTGTTGGCTGTAGGAGCACCGCACCTATGCTTATTAAGTGTTTTGGAGCCATATATATCCACGTCTTTAACGGTGGCAGCCATTCATTCACCAAAAACGTCTGCTAGAATCATTTTTCATCCTTCACTACGGACCAGTTCTTTACTTTCACACACCATATTTTATTCTATTTTTAAATGCATACTGAACGGTTGTAAAAGCAGAACTTCCATAAAGTAAAGTATTATAATCGTTTGTTGCAAGAAAGGGGACATCAAACATTTAGGTTAGGGGATTTATTCTTTTCTGGTGTATTATTTGAAGTTGAATTTGCGCGTGACAGTCTGGTGGAACGCTAACATATTTACCTGTGTTCCAAACAATCATCCATTTCACCAACAACTAATGTGCACTTTAACCTGAGCCGATTGTGTGGTCTTTACGCTCCTATTCTGCCCTTAGGGCGAAAATTTTGCCATGACCCCACGCACATTTATGCCGTGTCGTGTTTTTGATACGCTGCGGTCAGTGGCTAATGTCTTCCTACCGACTCATTCCAAGTGCGAATTAAAACCCATTTGTAAGTGAACTCTCTTGAGCACATCTACTGGTTGTATAGGTGGCGTGCTTCTACCTCAATGCACTGGATAGTTCTGTATACGTCAAAACTGCTAAGGTGTTTAGCTTCAACACTATGTAATGACCGTAGTCATGATACCAAGGTACGGTACGTATAATGAGTTATGCTACGTTCGTTGCTTACCAGATTTCTTTCATCTCAGCAAGTTATACCATGTGTTCATTTGTAATTTCCTACGCATCCATCTGCTTTATTGCCTGCAAAGACGCTTCCCTTACAGTAATTCCCAGAATATGGTATCTCAGTCAGCGGAGGTATCGCTTGATACACGCAGATGTGTATTCGCTAGCTTACCGATTGTCATTGACCGGATTCAAATCGTGGTCAAAAAACGATAAACAAACCAAACAATAGACACAAAAATTCTAAGTGGAAGTCATTACCGTCCATCGATGTGATTTGGTTTGGTATAGTGTCATCCAGACCTCGGCTGTGTGGATTTCTCAGCACCATCATTGAAATGGTCAGTACATCATAAGTAAAAATGAAACAGTGATACATTGCAGGCAAAATATTAATGTCTAACAAGTATATTAGCATAGTTTATGTGAAAACGAACACGCAATGGAAAAAGTGGAAAGCATGCCCGACCGAACATCTGTGGTCTCACCATGCTATTCACGTTGACACAAATGTAAAGTACCGAACCTCGATTTCATGGCGGGGTGGCGAGCACAAAGCAGGTTTCCGTAACGTCACCTACGGAAAAGTATAAGCTACATCCCAAAATGCTAATGGTATAATACGGTTGATTATCTTTTAAATAGGAATAACGTATGCGTAGAAACGATCAAAGTCGAAAGCAGAGCGAAAATGGTTCCTACGATATTCCAACCGGGTATTTATCCCACCCGGCTTCAGTTAGTGGCTCATCAGTTTGGTGTTGTGTTACAAGTGGTTGCGATAAACGACGCTATGGTTCATCAAAACCCGGTAGGTCAGTGTATGGTCACTCCGCAGACCCTGGGACTTTCCACTATACACTCCTGGGAATTTTAGTCTAAGTAGTGTAAGAGATGAAACAAGCCCATACACTCTTTGCTGCGTTTTTCTGTGGGTTTGCTAGTGCAGCGAAGTCGTGCTTGTGCCAAGGTTACCAGACCTGAACTTCTCACAGTATTTGGGGCCTCACCTACTTGGTGAGTCTTGGTGGGAAAATATAGAGGTTAAACGGACGGAATAAGCTCTGCAAAAGGCCAGAATATTGGTTTCCGGCTTGCGAGATTTTTGTGTATTGCTTCGGGCGTCCAGGGTAGTAGTGAACAGGTACTTCTGATCTACGATGGTGTAAGTAGTAGTAGAATGTGGTTTCCGAACACACATATGCCATTTATCTGTTAAATAAACAACTAAATTAATAAATGGGTATATTTCCCGTTGAGAGTGATGGGTTCCCTTTTTTGGAACGATCATTTGTACAGCGAGTTTCGTTATTATTTCGTGTATAACCTCCGTTCAATGTGGAAGGGTTATACACTGTTTTGTTGCGTAGCTAATAAGTAATATTATTTGATAGGTAATATTGTCATGTATTATATGGAGATCATAAGGCAGAATATTCAACCATAGTGAGGCATACAAATCATTGAAGGCTAACTGGTCAGCTGATGTTGCGGTTATGCCACTGCGTATGTAGATGTCACATCCACCACCGCGTTGGTGCAGACGATCCTTCTGGAAAAATTGATGACCCGAAATATCCAGTTGAAAGTCGCATATAACTGATGTGCATCATGTTTCAGTGACAAACAATGTGAAGAGTTTTACAAAAAATAAACGTTGTAAAGATATCCAGTTTTGGCAGTAGCGATGGAATATTTATACTAGCGGGTTTAAGTAAGCGTGATGAGGTAGGATACACACGTTTGGTCATATCACACCCTCTGTCTTCATGGACCTGGGTGGTGTGCCGTGGTGAAACAACTGGGCTGTGTTGTGTGTTATGATGTCCTGGCTCCAGCGAAAGAAAAGCTGCAAACAATTGAATCATCACTGGGTTTGTTTGATGGTGTGTGGAGGTACTATTGGAGGGGGGGGCTGATGTCGGTCTAAATTTGGGTCCCTTGGCAAGAGGTGAGCAAATTCGTAGGAGGAAGTGGCGGTGGAGGTTAAGCTAACAACTGAGGCTATAGTTGGGAGGCAGTGGAGGTATAAGCGCTTATGCCCGCATATGTATCTTCAGGTCTGTCATGAGCTACTGCGTTATTCCAGTTGGGATGTTGCCATCTCCGGCTCGGATAGATAACAAAAACTTTTGTGATGGTCGGTTGTATGTCGAGAGGTTATTATTGACCCCAGAATCGGTTCTAACACCATATCTGGTGGTGTGACAGCATACAGTTTTCCTCATCTGATTTAATGAGTGCCGATTATGGTGGATTCCACTTAGACTACCCTGAAACACAGCCAAGTTCTCACTGCGGCAGGTTGTGATTTGTATGCCTATCGATCGTGCACCATATCTTGAAATTATTGGTCTAAACAAAACATTTGAGACCATTGCACGTGTTTGATGGTTAATGAGGACCAGGTATCAGCTCATTCTATCTTAATCATAAAAGGTAATGATCTCCAGACCCGAATCTGTGGCAGCTCCCGAAGAAGAAAGCAGCCGACTCACTCAAGCAGACGATTATCAAATTCTATGATGTACATCTTGTGAAAACATATGCTACTCTTCTCGTGATTGAGGGCATTAAAAAGTCGAGGGGTGACTGATTCCAGTCTTACTCTCCGCCATTTAGATTCGACTGCCCTGCTGTTGATAGAAACAGTGCCGCTTCGGTGATGATGTCGGAGTTTTCTAGATGGTCCCTAATATCTCAGTAGCTAGCGCTTCCATTAACTGTGAGAGTACCTAAACAATAGTTCGCGGGGCATAGTCCGCAGACTCAACTCGTGGCAATAAGATCGTGCTCCCAAATGTTAGCGCTGTGTTCTCTATCCAAGCGCCTATGATAGAATCGCTACTTAAAGGTTCGGCTAGCAGCTCAGTGGGCACTTCCAGCTCCTTCAGGTGAATGTTATTAGTTTATGACGAAACATGGGTGAGAAGAGATAACATCTTCCTCACTGCATTTCCAGTACTACAAAAGACATGGGCAAATCCTGACAATGGAGCATAGTGGCAATTGTGTAGCATGCTCTTGTGGCACCTCAGCAAATTGGAGCATATTGCAGCCGTAGAGCGTTAGCTATCTCCTTGCCACTTTGTTCCCATCTGCATGTTGAAACAAACTGGTGGTATGTTATGCTTCACGGCTAAAAGGCCACTCACCTGTTTGTACACTAGCTTGTTATTTGCACAAAACATTCTTCGCTAGACAAGGCTGTGCGTTAAGTTGTCCTCACAAACTGTTATGTCAAGATGGTTACTGTACCGAGTAATCGCTCTTGGTGCCGGGACTAGGGCTGGCTATGTACTTGAGCCATGTAGCGTCTCTAATTGCCATGCAGTCTCTAGTTAAGAATTTGATGAAAGGCTGAATTCGATTTCAGATGCGACTGTGCTCAGGGTGTTCGGTATTTTAACAAACGCTATTCAGGTACAGCCAAGTGGATGGTCATCCAAAAATTTCGTTGGTTTCCTTGCTGAGTTCTGGTAGGATATGGTGTGTGTGTAAGTGTGTTTGTGTATGTGTGTGTGTCTGTGCACATATTCCCTCTGGATTAACACTCACGGTCACAACGCTTGAGTACATGGTCACAGAGACCTGACAGACTTTCCACATCGATTATGGGCACTGCATTTGTGAGTATTAGGTTAAATGTTGATGAGTTGTTCGCCAGTCGGATCTAATAGGCGAACGCGCATGGCTATGTAGTAGAATAGTTGCAATAAGATTGCAGGTCAAACTTACACAGTTTTCTTGCAGATGGCTAAAAGTTTGTTGCGGGGCGCTTCTCAAGCTTATTGCTGTAAAGGATATTGGGGACGATAAACAAGTGACAAGAAACACGGAGCATGGAGTTTTAGCCATCGGCATCCCTCGTGGGTAGCAAACATGCTCACGGTATTGAGTTCCACTACAAATTTCATGTGTTGTGCTTAACCGTGAACGCACAGTACGGCTAAAACACGGGGACATCTCAGTTGATAGAACCGGTCGAGTATTATTTTGACGCTTTGAACCACATATAAACAATATGTAAACCTTAGTCAAGTGTTAGTTTTCCTGATGATGTGGGTATTACAACTTCCCGCTTCAATACAGCACATGTTATGTGATTAGTAAGCCATCTGTGATAATTAGGGTTCCCACTAACTTAGGATGCAAATAAATTGGGATAAACTCTCAGTACAATATCTTACAAAAGATGAAAGTGGACCCGCACAGTAACCGAAGAGGTAGTTTTAACTGAAACGGTACTGTAACTAAATTAGCTGACGTAACTAATGTATCAATTGGCTCCGCCCTTAGATAAGCGTGGAATACGGTGCAACAACTGTTCGCTTGAACTTTTCATCTGCGAATTACATTGTTCTTTAACCGCTATCTCTCTAGTCCCCTGGTAATCTTAACAAGGTGTCTACCAATGAGCATTGGTCTTTGTTTCTGTCTATGACAGCCACTGGCTGGCGGCGTTCGCAGCGATCTGTGCATCTCGACTTGGAAGGAGTAATAATCCAAATCACAATACCCTACTTCCAAACAAACATTATCTCCCAAATTCCCAATCTAAACAAACCCCATTCAAAATCATACCTTCTCCCATAACCTAAAAACCCTCCCATAATCCCCCCACCCCACACTATAAAACTTCCCACAATCTAATAACAAAAACCCCCCCTCCCCCCCAAACAAACACACTCACCCCACCCTCTCCAATCATAACCCAATACACACCAACCCAATTTTCAACCCTCCCCCCCCCCCTCACTCCACACCACTACCCCCCTCTCCCACTTAATCCTCACAGACCTCTACAAAACCTACTTTCTCCCCCACCAATCATCCACCCAACCTCAATCCAAAACCACAACCCCCCAATTTATATACCCCACCCAAACCCTCTACTATCCACCATTCCCAAAAAACCAAAACCCCCCAACCTAAACCAACCAACTATAAAAACCTACAATATCCCACTCAATAATCATACCTCACAATCAGAATCCACATAACTCATTCCTATACAATGAACACTTGTTTCAAAGGATAACCAAGGACGTCTCTGCTAATAGTTAGGGTGCAGCAGGCAGAAAAGGATTTGCAGCATAAACTAATGCATTTTATCGCACCAAGGTTCACTTGGAGAGAAACGACGCAGCAGATAGCTCCACTGAGCACTTTACTAAAAATATTTACCGGTCATCATGCACTGCAAGGGGATTGCAATCGGCCAGTATTTGCAACATACTGCCTACCATAGCAGCTTGTTTGGTGCTTTTTCCTTCATGTATTCTCACTTTACAGGTTCTGTAAAACCATCAAGAGTGTGCTCAGCCATGGCTTCACCCACCCTCAGATCGTCCCCATCACCATCTGATGTATCTCTTGATGAAGGTGCAAGTGTTCAAGCCAAGAAAATTACAATAGATCTTGAAGCCAAGGAGGTTCAACCTGGAGTTTTGGAGTTACCATCTGAAGACATTCCGGTGATAGACCGGGTGAATGAGGGAGTAGCCGGCGACCGTAGCTGGCTTGCTGCATGGGCTTCCAAAGGGGTGTGGCATCATTTCATCTACTGCATGATTCCAGTGGATGTGGAATCTTGGGCAGAGGTTTCAGTTCTGAGCAAAACGATACAACTATTACAAGTTCCAATCTTTCTGATTTTCCGCATCACGATCCCAACGGTTTTGGAGAATTTTTCGGATGAGTTACCAGGCGTTGGTCTCACGGATGAACACTGTGACAAGCTGAAAGAGAAACGGCCCATGGAAACTGTAGTGGAAGAGACTGAATCAGAAACAAGTACACCTACAAAGAAGGAAAGTCCATGTTTCAACGAAACTGCCCATACCCAGCTGGACCTCGAAGCCATGCACGGATGGTGTAAGCCACTGAATGTCATTCAGTGTGCTATTGTGCCAACATTGTGGGCGCTCTTGCTTACAGGTATGTTCTCCTCTTATCTGCGTTGACTACCTGCTTAGGACTAAAAAGAGACTAAGATCTTTGCTCGTGTTTTTGCGTGGTATGAATTAATGCTTATCATAGCAAGTATGAATGGCGCGTGTGTTTGAATGCCCTACTGCTACTTCGCATTAATGAAGCATATACGGTAGGTACCATGACTTGACCATCTATCAATTTTTTTCTCCTGATGTTGGTGTTGCTATGTAGCAAGCAGGTAAGTCGCTCTTGTGGCCGTAGCCGGTCTGACGTTAACCAATACACATAAAGAACAACAGACAGGATTTGATTTGTCTCAATGAGGAAACTGTTGTGGCCTGACAGATGAGGGCAAGGTAGCAGATCTGTATTGCTCCAACAAGAAGTAAGAAGCATGCATATAACGAAACCGCCAGAAACAGAGGGTCAAGCGGATCACGACAGCTGTTTCATTTACCCGTTCGAATCGCACCAGTTAGAGCATTGTTAAGTAGGAAGAAACTGTTTTCAGTAAACCGATAAAAGGCCTTGAGGGCCTTGGGACCCTCCTCAAAAATTATCGGTGTATTCTCACCTAGTGAATGACAGCTGCTCTTCTGTGGGACGGGAGAGTTGCTCATCGGCAGAATCTAATTATTACAATCACCTAAGAGTTTACTGTCTAGATAGACCTTTGGGGATTCAGTTGCTCTAACGTATTTGCAGATATGATGAAACTATCAATCTTGAAACTGTATTATGAATGTTGCTTGGTACACGTTGACGAATAAAAATTGCCTACCAGATAGACTACGTTCGAGTTTAGCCGAGTAGTTACGTTGCTAAAAGTGCTAGCATTATCACCTTAATCAGTTGGAATCTACTGGCACACGGTGTATAATTATGTGATATGTATGGGAAACGCATACATTTATGTACGAAACTTTACTGGTGAGTTCCACTAAGTCCGGCTGACTAAAGCTGTCGTAGATGAAATGTACACGCATCCTGATGCAGCATCAGATACCTAAAGCAACAAAATATTTTTCAAGATTTTGGATGAATAGTATTGTTGAAATCTGGTATCCATCTTATGTCTTCCTGCAGGTCGTGATGTCGTGTCGATGTGTGTGTGTGTGTGTGTTTGTATGAGCTCAATATCGTGACCTCAGTGGGGTCAGTCTGGTGTAGTAGTGTGTGTGTGTGTGTGTGTGTGTGTGTATGAGCTCAATATCGTGACCTCAGTGGGGTCAGTCTGGTGTAGACTTCATTTCTCACCGTGCCCAGCGCCGGGTAGACACAGATGTTCTATGCTAGGCCTACACTCAGCTACTGATTGCGTAATTCTGTCTTACTCGTTTTGTGCTGACCACGTTGCAGAATCACTAAAGTCAGCATTTTTTCAATAAAATGCAGACTTGCTCGGTATGCTTACCTATTGAAACAGAAGAATTCAAGTGAGTAAACAGAGCAGTCTGATTACGTTACACGGTAGTAAATTTTTGATTAGCGATTCACGATTTCCCTCTGACGCCTTATTCTGTCTATATAGCAAACGGTGGTTCCGTGGGGCTTTCCTCAATTGGAAACAGCTCTGTTCCAATCTTTGCTCCGTTTTTACTGGTTGGATTGATTCTTGCGCTTGTGGTATACTTGACATCGAAATGGAATGAACCCCCTCGTCTGTATCATCGACCATTTTTTGCCACACTTGGGTTTGTGACTTCCATCATTTGGATATACGCTTTGGCCCATGAATTGGTGAATTCTCTCGAAACACTCGGCATCGTTTGGGAGATCAGCGAGGCTATCCTTGGACTGAGTATCATGGCCTTAGCCAGCTCCATCGGTGGTAAGTTGAGATTGTGTGGTGGTATTCAGCCGTATAAACTAAACGCTGGTGTTTTGCATGTCTCACTCCGTCCCAGACAACAAACAACAACAATTAGACATGTAGGTGAGATGCTACGAAGTCTTGATACCATGGGTACACTTGACACTGCCTTATTTCATTTTCAAATGGGATCTATAACGATGTTCATGTGCTTTGAGCAACTTGTTATATCGTACTATTGGAGGACTGTTAGAAGCAACTATTTAGAAATAGATAGATTAATTTGGATATTTATCAACAAGCTTTATACGACCCCTCGTAGACAGCGATCATTGTTCCTAATCGGTAGCTTGTTGGTAAGTTAAGTTATCACCTAAATCATTGTATCAACTGAGTGGGTCGCAAGTAGAAGTCCGTGTACCAACATTTTGATTTCGGTGGTTGGTTGGTTGGTTGGCGACATCCATTTTCCGATTTGTCTGTCAATGTGGCCAACCCCAGGACGCCTGCGAGTACATAGGGACTATGGGTGGCTTGCGCTGCACCACCCACTGCTCGAACCACACACCCCATATCCAGTGGAAACTCGAAGGAACAAGAGCGGGAGGCATGTGGATGGGAGCCACGTTTCATCGACGGAACCGGCCCACACTTCTTCACAGGCAAACACACGCACACTGTATTTGGGGAATCAAGCGCACACAAGGCGGTGGCTGGACCGTAGTCCGCTCCACACTGAGTGCACGGAACCACTCTGCGAGCCTAGCACGACCACAAAGACCGCGCACCCCGTCCCCTCCAGCAACGACCAACTGTCTTCTGGAGCCAGTATGGACGAGGTAGTGGGTAATAGACAGATAGGCACCTTGTCAACATGCACATCAAGCGCAGCCACACTGGGGATATTAAACAACAGCCAATCACTTGGAACGACGAGCTCAAATAAACTAAATAGAACAATGCTTACAGACACAGTGACAACTCTTCACTAAATGGGCACCTAAAGTAAATTGATTACGAACGAATCCGCGATAAGTGCAAGACATCAGAAAGTACATTTTACGAAAATGCCGCGAACACGAAAATGTTATCGAAGTTAACTACAATTAGCTTAAGCAACGCGTGCAAGTTTATAGAAGAAAATTCAGGTAGACATTAATATGAGATAAAAAAGTATTAGGACAATATAGTAAACCCACCACCTGAAATAAAGTGACTCAGCATGCGAGCACACTGTTAGTAAATCGAATGTAGCGTACCTACAAACGCTGCTCCGGTTCTGCCTACGTCCTCTGCAGAACTCGTCGTCGTTTCGGAATTGGCCCCGAGTGGCCTGGCTCATGGCTCACTAGGCCTGCCTGACTCTGGCACTCGCGACCGCATGTGCTACAGAACCACGCCCATGTTGTCGATGGAGTACAACCCATCTGCGCCTGTCGCTTTCGCAATGGCCGCTTCTTCATTGCATGCAAGAGGCCTTTCTGTTGCACCTTGGCAACGGCATTCAGGATCAGACCGCGCCACGCACGCCGATCAACCGCCTTCGAATCCCATGACCTGCAACCAAGAGTAGAACGTGAGAGGCTCACTTTGATCATATCCTGGTAACGAAGCATCGGTTTTTCCATATGCGGCTTCGCAACACTCAGCTGACCATGTAGTAGCTGCTTCGGTATCCTTGACGAATCCATACGCCACACATGACCGAGCCACCTCAGGTGTCTCAGGGTTGCACCAAGTGGTACAGCGCAGTCACCACCATACTTACTGTGCGTCGACGCTCCATTGATGATGGGTTGCCAGTGGCAGCCTCAGTGTGGTACATATTGCTTTTGGATTAAACACTAGATTTTCAATAAACTGGAATACATTTCTTACTCCTTACTTTATTATTATTATAGCAAGCAAAGCAAGTTTTCATAATTATCCTTGCCTAAGAATAACTCATAATCACTGATCCGATTGCTTCGGCGTTTCCAATTACAGACATTATGGCTAACTGCTTACTGGCGAGGAATGGTTACCCACGGATCGCCTATTCCGCGTGCATCGGATCACCGCTGTTTAACCTACTTCTCGGAGCCGGTTTGTCATACACTATAAAAATCAGCCGAGGAGGCGACGGATATGCAAGCGTGAGCAAAAGTCTGCAAACATATGTTCTGTCTACACTATGAGCCAACGCACTTCTTGAATATGTAAATTGGTAGTGCACTGTATAATCGTCGATTAGCGCAGTGCGTACGGTCGTAAAACTTATTTGTTGATGTTGTGGATTGTCTAGATAGGCCTCCATCAGTTGTATTGTCAGCAAGCACATAGACACGTACCAGTTTATCGTTTAAATTTCTAAACGACCCCCTTCACTGATCGCATGGTGATCTAGCAAAACACGTTCCAAAGTTGGAGTTATATTTTCCAAGATTGTAGGTTGCCACGAATCTATCCTGCCTTACTGGTTATGATTAGTGGTTTACGCAAAATGCAATCAACTTGATGCGCAAGTGTTTGTTTGAGGGATACGCATACACATTTCACACTAGACATTTTGTTCATTTTTATACGCTAGTTCCACGTAGTTCTGTATTTGCCGGCCCGTAGCCTTAAGGACCACAAGCCTACCTTCTAATCAGAGGGTGGTGGTTCGAGCATGCTTAGGGACCGGGCGACCCTAGCACTATCTGTAGCCCAAGTGCGACCGATGGTTGGGCGGCAGCGAAGCCTCGGTACTGCGTACCGTCGTACTGTTGATGTCCTTTTTCGCCATCCGCAGAGTTACTGTAAAATGCTAAGAAGGTACTTCCCTAGGTGCACAAAGCCTATTTTAACTTGGTATTTATCCCGTTGCAACTGCACAATTTAGGTAGTGTGAAAACAGCACTAATATTGCTTTGCCGTACACAACCTGCAGTATATAAATAAGCAAATATGGTTACGGGGTCAGGTAGACGAGTTAGCGAGGGTTTGTGGTTCCACCACCGAGTGTTAGACAGCATATATTTAACTGCGAGGAGACTAAATTAATGGCTTTGGACAGCTGCATAAGTCAAAACGCAGGGACCTCTGAACTTGTTGCTGAAGACCGGTACTCCTTGAGTTTGTTGTACACAACCCTCACAGAAACTCGGTCCACTGACTGCACAGTTCAAGCGAAAACTGCTCTCCTACTGGTCAGTTGGGGTGACCGTAATGTATAAGCGCTTTTGATTCGCCACCAGAACTAGCGCTAACTCTGCGCCACATGATACATAATGCGGTCCGTCACTAGAAGGTGGTGCTAAGTGGAGATTGAAGCTGAGGCGTGCGGTGAATTCCTGGGTGGATTTTGCATGCGAATTTTTTCAAATTGCTTATTTTTTTTCTTAAGCCAACACCTCACTACAGAAATGAAAAATTGTCACAAAATTATCGGTTTAAATCTGCTAATATACGGTAGTTAATGCACCCAATCTTTCCGCGCTTGTTAACAAGGTCATCTAGGTAGCTGAGAGCCATATCTAGCCGAACTGCTGTTTCCTTCTTGGTCTTGTTCGTTTGTCATTGCTAAGATCTCAGATAAGCTGTATACACAATTATTGTATTGGCAGCAAAATGCAATTTGCCAGTTTTCTGTACAATATCCGAGTGCAACATATTATTAAATGTCTTCATCCTTCCATTCTATCTTCCCTGCAGCTGTCATTTACCCTCACACAAGCCGTTCTGTTCTCTTGTCTCATGGCGGTACTTGCATCAAACATTGCGGTTGCATTGGTTATGAAATTTCATTTCCACAGACTCTACGGAATACTCCTTATCCTTGTATACATTGCCTTCGTGACAATCGCAATTCTAATTGAAATGGATATCATCGTCTCACCCAAGAAGTGGGGATTGGCTACCGGAACTGAATGAACAGAATGTCGCGCATTTCAAATAATTTGAACACATTGCACAGTTTGAGCGGCTACCTAAACTTCCGCATGTGCCGGAACCACCGGTTTCCACATTTGCTTTTGTCCTGTCCAATCATTCATCCTACCTTGGGACCACATACATTTGTTTTGAACAGCTGAGCATCAGGTCCTTAATGTATTCGTACGTGTTGAAAAACTGCCGGGTCGAGTTTGTTTTGGTAAACAAGTGCACTTTACTGCAAATATCTCCTGGCACTCTGGCGCAGGCGCCGAAAAGCTACTCGATTTCCTTGTTTGAATTTCTATGTTCTGGAAACTTTTCATTTTTCGAAATTTTACTTATACCTTGTATGAGATACTTCGTAGTTCTTAACTATGAAGATGCACTCGCTAAAAACGCTTAGCTACCCATAATCTCTAACTGTTCACACCACGTTTGCGGAGCTTATTTCCCTCTGTACTTTGAGGTGATTAGGATAAGTTATGTCAAATTTTGACTCGTCACACTGCAATGTATCATTAACCCAGATGTCGAACATGGGTACAAACGTTTTCAACAGGCAAAATACGTGAGGTAAACGCCTCTTAAGGTAAATTGTCGAAACCAGGAATGACCAACGATTTATAGCGGGTAAAATGTCTTTCACCAAGTCAGTAGGATGATCAGAGCTAGTAGTGTAAAACCAAAAGTAAAAATGGCAAGAAAAAGAGAGAAATTCGGGTTTTAGTTGACTCAGCATGCGATTCGTGAACACTAATGCTGGTTTCTTCACTGCTACGTTACGGAGAGGGCTGGTGAGCAAACAGTTTGCTTCGCGTTATTTTGTCCTCAGAGTGAAACGGACTATATCACGCAATGCAACTTGGATAATTTGCCGTCAAGTCGTCTGTTGCGTTATCGAGTGGGAACGACGTGAGAGGGAAGCGCGTTCCATGTCCAAGCTGCTCGAAGATAGAAAAATTGTTGGCCGTCAAGTCAACAGTAGTGCGTAAAATATTTGAACTGGTAGCTTGTTAAGTTTGTATTATTGCTGAGTTACGACAGATCGCGGCCGATGTGCTTAGTGTGTGCCTATATAGAGAGCATCATGATGAGATCACGCTGACGCTGATTTTCACCGCTGTACAAGATAAGGGCTGGCAGTCTGAGTTGATGAAGGAGGTCAAACAAACCCCTGACGGTTTTGGTCGCTCCACGTTGTAGAGCTTCAAGCACATTAGCATCGTGTTTTCTCCAGAGACTTTAGGCATGTAAGGCATATTCTACTTGGGACCACCTGTAACCGTTCAGAATTTGCAAAAAAGATAGAAGGTCCGAACTTCTTATATGAATTTCGTAGGAGACCAACGTGCTGAATGGCTTTTTCCATGCTTTTTCAGCTTCTTTCGAGCAGCCTAAGTCATGCCGCACAACTACTCCGAGATTGTCTTCTTGGGTGGTACTTTGCAACTGCTTCTCTCCAAGTCAATATCCCTAGGTACGTTGATGGATTATGCTCAAACTTTTGCATTCCGCCAAGTTGAACTGGAGCCGTTTTTCGAATAAGCATGTATAGACCCTATCGAGACTTCTCCGCAATGTTGCAGCATGCTTCACTGTTTTGATGTCATGTCGGGTCTTGACATCGTCAACTAGAGTACCCTAGCAAGAGATTTGACGAAGACTTGAAATAGACATGGTCCCAGTACCGATCCTTGGGGTATACCACATTGGAATTCGATTTCGTAAGGAAGTAGGCTACGGACTCGCACAGTAAGCAGAATATAAATCAGGATACTGCTTATTCAACTCAAAAGATGGTCGCCGAGACCTACTTGTTGGAAGTTTATGTAGGACAATGCTTTGGTTCATGCGGTTAGGCAATTGGGAAGTACGGATAGCCAAGTTCGTGGAGCTCAAAGACCTAGTGATTATGGCGATAGCCGCCAAGCACTATGCGTCGAATTCCACTCCAAGCTCGGCTATCTCTGCTTGATGAGTCTAAACAAAGACGAAACCATCGGTCGTGGAGTGCAGAGATGGGAGAGAGCCACACCCAAACCCTCCATGTTCAAATCTTAATCTGCCATCTACTGATTTGCTCCAGTTTAATTGGGCTAGCAGCAACTTTGTGCTGCATGCCCGATTTCGACGGAATCTGTGCTCTCGTGACAATATGATGATATTACGCTCAAGTTAGCTTAGAATTGTCTTCGCGATAATTATTTTCATAACTGTGGATTGTACCTGGAGGAGAATTAGTGGACGTAGTTCGGTGGCCCTGCACAACTGTCACTTTGTGAATAGGAATGACTTTTCAGTGCTTCCACGTTGTGGGAACCGGAGGTTCAGCAAGGCCTTGTTAAACGAACTAACCCAATGGTTAAGTGACGTTCGTGGCAGCTCTTTTGAGTGTCATCAAGTGTGGGTAGTCTACGCCAGGAGAACTGTGCACGCGGAAGAACAATTGATTTTTTTTAGCACAGTTGCTGCGGTAAAGGATAAATGGCTTAAAGCTAGGGGAGATGTGAACTGTGTAAAAGACCGGTGAGGTGACGATTCACACTGAAAAGTACGGAGGAATTGTTAACCGCCTCTTGTGTAGTTTTCGTCAGATCATCTGCTGCGTGTAGAACTGGGATTCTGTGCTGTATGCTGCAGCGCTTATTGACGTGCCTGTATGGCGTTTCAGGGATCGTGCTGAATGCAATCACTGCATTTCGTTGATAATTTAACTTAATTTTGCGAACCAATTTGACGCAACAATTTCCTTATGTAGACGTCCCAGATATACGAACACGCGGAGGCTGTATAAACGCCTCAGGCTATCGTTTAATGCAATGAATCTTCGAGTCCGGTTCTTCAGGAAGGACTTCATTTGGCTCAGGCGAAATAATTTAGTTTCCGCTGCAAATACGGCTAGCCATTGTGAAATGGGTGACAGACTCCATCCAGGCGACATCGGGATGTTCCTTAGTTAGTAAAGACCCGTTAATTGCATGAACGAGGTACGACAAGGGCTCGTAATGGGTGACGACTTGGGCTTCTTCAGTGTTTGAACTAATGTATTCGACTTAGAAGATGTGACGGAAGGGTAGTGTGACGTGTTCACTGCGACCAAGCGGTGCTATTAGATTCTTGTTAATGAGCACAAGATCTAAAACAGATGGTTGGTTCAGTTCAGAGGGCAGGCGTCATAAGTGCGGAACTTAAGTACATGGTTGTAACCGACATCATCGTATCAACATAGCCCAGTGCAAGATGGTCCTGTCCTACATATTTTGCTGCACAAATAACAGCACATGCCCGACTAGAGTGGGAACCCAAAGGTGGACCCATGTTAAGGACCATCAAGATTTGTGTGCTCGAAATAGCAGAGTGGGTGAGGGGCTATCCCCGGTAAGGCGGAGTTGTGAGAAGCGAAATGTGCAGAATGCTTTAAGCGGAATCTCTATGAAATGCTAGAAGAATGTAAACCGTCTGCTTTACTTTGCATGGTAAAGTTGAAGCCATGTGCGCGCAGATGCTTGGTCATACAATCGGATTTACCGTACGGCTAGCTGTTAGACAAGACTTTGCCTCACGGTACCCTGACGTTTTCTTCAAGTTACCCAGCATGGGCAGTTCCTGTTATTATGGTTAGAAAATTTGGGGCTTGTAGGCAGTATTTACCTTACTGGAATTGTTTCTGTGTCCCACTAACACTCACTATCAGTTCAACTGGATTTGTTTATCAAGCCCAAAGATGGCGCCAATTTATCAACGTCGAATCTTGCTGAGGCGGGTTTTCTAATAGATAGTACAGAAGACTGCAAATGGTTCCTGGCGAATAAAACACAGCACACAATATGATTATTTGCTATTTGGAATAAAACACGCATCAGCCACATTCCAGCAAAAATATGAAGTCCATTTTGACCAATCAATCAACAGTAGCTGTTTACCTGGATGACATCAACATCATCATGGGTTAAGGTGAATAAAATGCTCACTGTTCACACAGCATGATCTCAAAGATTTACGTTATGATTTTACTTTAAAATTAAAATGATGAGTTCTCTTCTCGAACTTAAGGGGTCATCTTAAAGCACTCGTTGTGGGAATGGATTGTGACGCACAATTTCAATGTGGACCGCGATGGACATTGAAGCGAAACATGGTCACTGCGTTCGCTGGGACCGTAATTGATGAGGCACATAGATATTAGGTGCTGCCCACCCGAAAAGACTACACTCCGAGACGCGTTTTGACCTCATTTGGTCTCACAAGGAGAGCAGGCATTGAACACGGGACCATTGCACGTTAGCCGAACCCTCTACCTCCTTTGCCACCGGGTCATGCCGGGTAACGCCTAGCGCAACGGTTAACGACTGATGGGACCGTATCCGAATGGTGCTGGTTGACTTCAAAATCAACCGACGCTACAACTGAGATTGGGTGTCACAATTCGAACTAAAGTGCGGGTGCTCCAGAACCCGATACTCAGCGCCTAACAGCTGTGTCAAGCGTTTTTAGCGGAGTTAAATAGCCTAGTGGTCATGGTGATAGCCACCAAGGACCATGGGCCAAGTCCAAGTCTCTACCATGCTATTAGTATCTGATGCGTCCAAAAAGGATGAACCGTGTCGTGGAGTCCAGTGATTAAAGACAGCAACATCGAAATCCTTCACTCGTTATGGTACTGTTCACTGATGTCCTTTTGTACCTCGCGCGGGTTTTGACACACCATTCAGTAAACTAAGCACTGTGCGACACAACTAGGAGGTAGTGCTGCACCACTCAAATTTAGGTTCCACGGAATGTGTTCCGAAATTCGGTTAGACAACTGCCTTGCTGTGCGGCCGATATACATGCCACTGCAGGTACAGTTAGACCGGCGAAAACAAAAGCGCGTGATTTGGCATAATTCGGAGTCTAAGTATGGAACAAGCGACTGGTCTTCCGGTGTCTGTTCCCACTTTACATGTGTCGCCTTGGAAAGACGCTGAACATCACATGCAGCAATGCATGGGGAGTGGGGTTTATAGTACACCGAACTAAGACCATAATTCCCATTTGTACAAAAGATGTTCAGTTGAGGGTGCAGCTGACATCCTCACTGCCCAAGTAGAGTAAACATCAAACGTTGTCGGTCCATCCAGGGAGCACAGTTTTATGTCTTATACATTGACGACATGTGAAACATTTTGTCCTCTTTAACCACTGCATCAACGCAGAAGACGGATATCGTGATATGTTAGCATTTGGATCACTCTCTCAGTCGTGGGCGTAAGGCGTACAAAAAAATAAACGAAAGCGCAGTGGTGAAACAAGCGTTCGTGAGCGAATCTCAGTGGGATAATCAGGACCACGGTAATCTAACAACTTGCTTCAATTGCTTTTGCGCGCAGTGTTGGACGACTGTTCGCGATCAACAGCGCTGAAT